CCGTTTTGCAGATGATCAATCTTGAGCCACCCTTTCAGCCGCCGTGTGGTACAAGGCAGTTGGTAACTACGAAGACATACTCAACCAGCACTTGTTACTATGAATGCTACCAAAAGAAACTGATGGACGTTTGTAATTGTCGTTTTCTTGGTATGCCCTATAGAGGTATGAAAAAAAAAAACTAAAATGTGAACGCCAGTATCGGATGTACGACCCGTGTGCTTGATAATAAGTTGATACTGTGACGAGAAGCAAGATTGAAAATCAGTTATATGTGGTGAAGTGGATTGAATTTGCCATTATATTGGAGGTAAACCAGTTGTCTATAATTTCTTAAGCGTAGCCGAAGAATTTAACCACAGCCAGAATAGATTTCATAAGAAGAATGTGCAGGAAATAAAAATAAAAGTTAAAAAAACTCCATTGTTTTTTTTTTTTTTTCTTTTTTTCAGGGGAGTTTAACGTATCAAGGTTTTGCAACACCGAAGAGATACGAACCTGCATCCTGCCCTCAACTGGTAAAGGCATTTTTCTAAACTCCGTGGAAGGTGTGGTATTTCGTCTTAATTTAAGCGGCTAGTCAACAGATGCTACTCGACTTTGCCGTCACTGTTATTATTATATTTTAGAAAATTGTTTTATATGTGGATTATTATATTAGCCACGGAGTCCCGATTGGACAAGAAATCGTTTTCACGGGGCCAGCATCACTGCGCTATTTGGTGAATTGAAACCCCTATTACCAAATCATATCATATTTGACATCTAGGAGCCAAGTAAACATGGCTGATAGTTGCTGAATGAAATTTTGTTTAGAACTTGTAAGTTAATATATCCTAGTTCACCATTTTCTATTATTTTTTTTAGTATATAGAAAATACACTACTCGTAAAATTCATACCAAACTACATCCGGGACCCGAGCGGGGTATTTTCCATATCCTCACTTGTGAGGATGTTGATGACGTCATTTCCCGTTTTTCACAGTTGTTTGTTTGTGAAGTCAGTCAGAGGGTGCTCGTGAAATTGTGGAAAGTTGCTCGCTGGAATACCAAAAAGTTGCTAAAACAGTGCCAAAAATCCAAAGTTGCTCCTTAATTTCAAAAGTTGTTACCTAAGTTTCTTGATATTCTTATACAACCATTAATTGAAAGCTTTATTTTTCGTTTTTCACAATAATTACTAACATGGGCGAAGAAAAATAGCTTGAAACTCAGCTTTAAAGGGTTTCTCACAAATATGGGCGAAATTTAAGCAGACTCTTAAGGTTAACGGAACAACGGAACAAATTAAAACACATGGTTCATTTGACGTTTTGCCGAACGTTGTCAAGTGACAGGTTGTGTTCGAACTTAAAAAAGTTGATAAACATTCAAGAAATTCGCATAATTGAAGTTTTCTATATGAAATCGTAGACTTTTTCGTGCTCAGGGGATATGTGTTATAAACCTATATTTTGCTCAAAAGTTGCTTAGAAAGGCAAAATTTTCTCTGTTGCTCGAGGTTGCTAAAACTGCAAAAAGTTGCTCCAAACGCCAAAAGTTGCTCCAAAGTTGCCGAGCACAGTTGGGACAGGCCGATCAGTCAGTTTGCCTATATGATTTTTCAGTGAATGGTCAACCGCTGACTAGTAGTCCATGGAGTGTTTACGTGAAGCCACATCAATGCCATGGCGTACGAAAAGAAAATAACACGGTGTCTTGAAGATACGAAGTCATATCTTTTCGATGCCGTATAATATCCTTTATATAATAATTCCATTTTTCCAACAGAACGTCTCAGCCCAAGTGATTGTGATTGTCCTGTACAATGTGAGCAGATCAAGTATGGCTTGGTGCTCTCCTCGGCATATTTCCCGTCACCTCATTTCTGGGACGCACTTTACAAATTCTTCAATAAAAGTGAGAACGGGACCGCAACAGATGCCCTGCAAGAGATAATCAGGTTAGACTTTCCGAAAAAAAAAAAGGAGTCGTTTTGAAGCTTTGTTACGAGGAAAAAGGAGACGGAAAATTCTACCATGTATCCGGTCCAAATTCCAAGCATTTCGTATACATCAACACGATCGCAAAGATCATTTGGTACGCGTCAGCTAGAAAAGGGGGATGGGGTGCGTTACCACCCATAATTTACTCTGAGGGGGGGCTCCACCCAAAAGGGGTACACTCGTGCAAGAGTTTATGCGAGTTGCGCTTACGGAGAAAATTAAACTTACATTGGAAACTCATACTGCCTTTCAACATTCAGTTATGATGAAAATTTCCCCCTTTCTTTCATTTTCCTAATAGGAGACACTTATTGAAGCTGAACATTTTCTACGAAAGTCTGTCAACCGAAGTCACTAAAGAAAAGCCAGCCTACGATATCTTCGCCTTTGGATGTAGGTAGCAATACGCGTACCCGCCCACACTCCCTCGCTCAAACCCTCCCGCCTACAAATGCAACAAACTCAAATTTAATATCCTTACTCGTTGGTAAACACGTCTTTGTAGTTTCGTTTCGTGAATTTGGTAGTACATTATGATATGCAGAACAAAATCACCTCCACTTCTGAAGCTTAGATATGAATTTCTTAATTTATGTCACGTGCAAGAAGAAGTTACACTTTGATCACTTCTGGAAACAAACAGCTAAATTTGTAGTTATTTATCCTTAGTAAATATTCTCTAAAATAGAATAGTTAGTATGCATTTGGATTTAGACATTTTAACGAAAAAACAAAACAAACAAAAACAAAAACAGCAAACAAAACAAACAAAGTCCAAAATCATCTGCTTAATATTGCTTCCAGGGAACACGGCAAGGCAAGGATGTGAGGTTGGGAATATTATTTTAGTGTACGCTAGGTGATTAATACTTTGATATTTTTGCTTTTCAGCGGACATGGGTGGTACCATGGGGCTGTTCCTTGGCTGTAGTCTTCTGACATTGTTTGAGTTTTTAGATCTGCTCATTATGGCTTCATTCAGGTTTTACGCGGTAAAGAAAGCTGCGTCAAAAAAGGTCAACCACAAATCAGAGGCTTATGATGACTCCGTGTGATGAAAAATTACTTATGCTAGACTTAGAACGAGGAAACTTCAAAAACTACGGGCTACTCGCCTTGTTTCGCCTCAACTCTGGTACACTAGGAAACATACAGGCTAGAATTCAAGAGAAACGCAAGAATTAAAAACGAAATAACCTCAGTATTTTGAAACTCCGTTAGGAGAAAACTGAACAGATTGTAAGCAGAGAGACAATACATGCAAAGTTGTTTAGTTTCTTTTGGCACGGAAATTTTTTTCAAGGAAAGTGGCAATTTTAGTAAACCCTAACCCTAACCCTAAACAAAATCCGGTAAGAAATCGAGTAATTTCAGTTTTTTTGTGGACAAAAACCTTGTACCAGAATAATTTTAGGTATTTCACAGTCCTTTTTACATTTTCTTAAAGCTAAAGATATAAATAGTTGCCTGAAATAACACC